TGCGAACGCGAGTCTACTGGTGCGAACGCATTGAAGGAAATGCTGAAGCTATGCGATCGCGTGACCGAGTACGCGAACACGGAAGAGGAAAAAGCCAAAGGAACGCGAACGCGGGCAGAAGATTGCAACCGCGAAGGAGGGAACAACTGTGCAAAAATTGCAGATTTTCTGCAACTTTCTCTAAGGCCAAAAACATCCCGAACCACCTCCGAATCACTCCCGAGCCCTCGGGGCTCCTAACCAAACACACACACTAACTCAACAACCTCATACGAACTTAATCGAGCGATCAAATCGCCAAAACAACATCAAAATCAATGAATCAACCCTCAAAATCATCATTTTTCATTCTAACTTCATAAACTTCAAACTTTAGATATTTAGGTCCGAAACACGTCAAATGACGTCCGATTTCGACCAAATTTCATAGGAAGCGCTTAAACCATATATAAGACTTGTACCGGGCGTCGAAACCAAAATACGAGCCCGATACCACAGCCTTTTAATAAATTTTCATTTTCATTTTCCTTAATAATTTCAGGAAAATAATTTCACAGAAAAATTCTTTTCTCGGGCTCTAGACCTCGGAATTCGACTCCGGGCATATGCCCGAGTTCCATATTTTTCTACGGACCTTCCGGGACCGTCAAATCACGGGTCCGGGTCCGTTTACAAAAAATATTGACCAAAGTCAACTTTAATCATTTTAAAGCCACATTTTAAAATTTTTACAGAATTTAACATATAATCTTTCCGGCTACGCGCCCGGACTGTGCACGCAAATCGAGGCAAGTAAAAAAATGAGGTTTTCAAGGCCTCGGAAGCGCGGAGTAAAAGAGAAAATAGATGATGACCCTTTGGGTCGTCACAACATAGTAGCAGGTTATACGATTAATTTTAGTTTTCACACGATAAGTCGAACTTAGACCATTCTCTCCTTATCGTTCTATAACAAGTTGGATTTAATTAAAGTGCATACTAGCTAATTGAGATTCTAGCATTGCACCAATAGTAGGTGGTCTAAATATTTGGTAGCTAGATATATACTTTTAACATAAAATCCAACTCTTTGTTTTCTCTCTTTTTATTGTCTTATATAGTTACTTTATATCCAAATAAGGAAAAGAAATCAATAAAATAGGGGTAATACTATATTATAAGGCAAGAAATGGGATCCTTAGGAAGTAAATGAGCTTCGTCGTGCATATTCGGTAGCTTTTCTCTTTTCATTTTACATATTTTAGGCAAAAACTTTCCACTTTTAAACCATTTTCTATTCATATGAACAGTTACCGTAATAACAATAACGAGGTTCGTTATAAATTCTAAGGCTCTTCATTACAAAATCAGTTTATCTACAACACTAGTATCAGAAGAGAGAATAAAGAGTGAAAAACAGTCTTTCGATTCATGGATATGTTAATGGAGAACCAAATGTCAATTCGTGTTTTGATGTTTCCATGGTTAGGACATGGACATATCTCTCCTTTTTCTTGAGTTAGCAAAAAAGCTCGTTACAAGAAACTTCAACGTTTACTTGTGTTCAACTCCAGCAAATTCACTTCCATCAAACAAAAGCTCATTAATGAAAATTTAACTGAAAAAATTTATCTTGTTGAACTTCGACTTCCATCCCTTCCAAATCTTCCTTCACACTCAAGAAAGCATTCAAGATGTCTAGTCCAAAGTTTGCTAAAATTGTCAACACTATCAAACCTGACTTGCTTCTCTACGATTTGCTTTAGCCATGGGCGCCAAGGGCTCTTATTACGATTTAATAATATATATATATATATATTCTTAAATGACATAAAATCTTTAACTTCATATAGGAATATTATTATTTATATTATAAAAGAGTAATTTAAATACATGAGGTGTTAGACATGTATTATCAATATGTTACCCTTGTCGTTGTTGTAAAAAATATATTTACTTATATGAAGATTTAAATAGTTTAATTCAAAGTTTTAAAATATTTTTACTATTAAATAGTAGACATCTTTCTTTCTTTTTTACAAAATTTTTGTAATTTTTTATTTTTTCTAGAAACATTAATATTGTCTAATTTGAAACAAAATTACAAAATATATTATTAAAAATTTTGAGGACCTAAATCAAGGCTTTACTAGTCTCCTACTAGAGCCACTTGTCCGCCCCGAACATTCTCAATTAAATTTATGGAGTCTCAATTAAGATAAAGCAACAATGACAAGAACATTAAAGGCAGTGAATATGTCTTTTAGTTACCAAAGTGAATGAAGCTAGTTGAATAGTACGTTCATGGTGGGGGAGTAGTCTGTAAATAATTGTTGATCGTCAATGAGGGGTGGCTCAACATAGAACTGATGGCTTAAAATCAAAGTATATTAAAAAGACCCAACTTCGTTTACAACATTCATATAATATTGAGACACAAAAAAAAACCTACATGACTTTAATCTAGTAGTGAGAGTGCAACTCATGATATATGGGTTAGGCACACGTCACTTGGTATTGAATTCTTCCTTAGGTGAAAATGGTAAAAGGGTGAGTGCATTATCCATCGTGTTTTAAACCTTGCGATATTTGTCTCGGAGATTTCTTAGTATAAAAATTTGAGACACAAAAGAACTTGCTTTCTGATATGTGGATCAATCAAATATGGAAAAAAAGGAATAGTTAATTTAGAGAATTTGAGTTGAAATTAGAAAGGAAAATCGTGAGAAATATGAAAAAAAAAACTAGACATAAAGGAAGAAAAATATATTTAATGAGAAGGTAAATATATTATTTAATCTAGTGAGAGAGAATTTATCCTAATAACTCATTCAATCCTACGTCTACCAATTTTAAAATTATTAAAATTTTTATTTTTTTATTTTATATATCTATTACGTATATTATATATAATATATATATATATATATACTATATAATATATATATATATATATATATATATATAAATTATAGAGTATATATTATATAATAATATAGTAGTGCATTAAATATTTGGGGGTCTAAGGCAAGGGCTTCACTTGCCTTACCCTAGAGCTGCCCTTGCTTTATATGTATAAAGAATTAGAGAATTTGTAAATGAAAATGTGGAATGATTAGAATTGACTTACTTCACAAAAAAATAGGCAATTTTGCAAATGATCATGGCCAAAATGCAAACAAAGTTTATTATGTTTTTAGTTTATTTTAATGAGAGAAAAAAAGCTTGACATCAGCTCTCCCATAAGAACTATTCGTCCCATCAGTTGGAGTTTCTCAGTTGTATATAGGCAGAATAGTCTAAATGGTATCTATACTCGTGCCACTTTGTTATGCCGGTCCCCAAACATAATAATTTACCAATTGAACACTTACACTCCTTCAAATCGTGTATAATAAACGCTTATGACAGGAGGTTGCAGCGCGTGTAATACAATCTCCTCCACGTTGGCTGCCACGTCAAAAAATAACAATGTTTAGATGCCATGTCACATGGTAGATTAAAATTAATTAAAATCAAAAAATAAAAAATAAAAATAAAAATAAAATTCAAACATCAATCCTTTCATGACTCACCGGACGTAAAAAAAATTCCCTTTCAATATACTGTCGCCGGCGCCGGAGAAGAGCCCCCGAAACGGAAGAACTGCTACTTTGCTACTTGAAACTGCAATAAAGATTCAAAAACAATAGAGTTCAAAACCAAACACCCAAATCAAGAAAGTAAAGTTTGGGTATATTAGGTCCATTTTAAAGAGACTCAAAGATCGAAATAGTGACAAAAAGAGTGGTCCGTTTCCATGGCCGAAGATACCCTATAAGCGTTGAGTTCGTTCTCAAGCTTCTCCTTCTATAAAACCTCACGGAACAATTGCGTGTTCTCCCCTTTTTTAATTTCATCATAGGCCATTCTCAAAGCCTCCAATTGCATTGAAGCATTGCCACAACGATCAGCTATGAATAGAAGCCTCATAATTTTTGTTCGGCCGCTGTATAAGGCGGCGTACAACTCAATATCCAGCTGCTCGCCGGTGATAATCGGCCGGTGACGCTACGAGTTCTCATCGCCGTTGGCGTAGATCTCGTCAGCTATTTGCCCTAAATCCTGGGGGGGGGGGGGGGGGGGAGGAGGGGCACGAGAAAGAATGAAAAGTGGGGAGCGGGAAAAGACCTCGGTGGAGGTGGAATTTTTGTGTAAGAATAATTTTTTTTTCTTTTCATTTTTTGTTATTTTTTAATTAGAATCATCAAAGTTACTCGCTTTTTAGAGCGTGCAATCACATATTTTACCCAACTCAGTAATGCATATGCCACATATGCTTGGTCAACGGTCAGATGGGTTTAAAGTAATGTATTTTAAAAACTACGAGTGTCTAGAAGAAACTTCGTAGAGTATCGGGACCGGGATGACAAAGCAGGACAACTAGAAGTGTTTATTAGGTTGTTCCGCCTTGTATATATAAATCTAATTTCTTTTGAAAAACACATAGCAGGTTATACGATTAATTTTAGCCTCACACGACGCGTTGAACTTAGAGAAGTCGTTCTATAGCAAGTTGGATTTATTTAAAGTATACTAGCTAATTAAGATTCTAACATTGCACATGTGGTAGCTCCATATACTTTAACAATAAAATCCAACTCTTTGTTTTCTCTCTCTACAATTGTCTTAATTACTTTACCCAAATAAGGAAACAAATCAACAAAATAAGGGTAATACTATATTATAAGGCAAGAAATGGGATCTTTAGGAAGTAAATGAGCTTCATTAGTATCTTCGGTAGCTTTTCTCTTTTCATTTTACATATTTTAAGCAAAAAGTTTCCACTTTTAAACCATTTGCTATTTATATGAACAGTTACCATATTAACAATAATGGCGTTCGTTATAAGTTCTAAGGCTCTTCATCACAAAATCAGCTCATCTACAACACTACTATCAGAAAGATAGAAGAAAGAGTTAAAAATAGTTTTTCGATTTGTGGATATTTCAATGGAGAATCAAGAGCCAATTCGTGCTTTGATGTTTCCATGGTTAGGACATGGACACATCTCTCCTTTTCTTGAGTTAGCAAAAAAGCTTGTTACAAGAAACTTCATCATATACTTGTGTTCAACTCCAGCAAATTTCACTTCCGTCAAACAAAAGCTCATTAATGAAAACTTAACTGAAAAAATTTATCTTGTTGAACTTCGACTTCCATCTCTTCCAAATCTTCCTCCTCATTACCATACAACCAATGGCCTCCCACCCCATCTCATGTCCACACTCAAGAAAGCATTCAAGATGTCTAGTCCAATGTTTACTAAAATTGTCAACACTATCAAACCTGACTTGCTTCTTTACGATTTGCTTCAGCCATGGGCTCCAAGGGCTGCGTTGGAGAATAATATTCCTGCAGTTGTGTTCGTCACTAGTAGTTCTGTCATGTTTTCGCACATGTTTCACACTTTCAGGTACCCTAGTTCAAAGTTTCCCTTCCCCTCTATTTATTATCGTGACTATGAGATCACTCGTATGCTCGAAAATCAAGATTTGGAGCCTATTGAGCAACAACAAAAAGATAATACTAGTGTTAAGTTGTGCTTTGGACGATCTTCTAATGTTGTTTTAATCAAAGGTTTTAAGGAAATTGATGGTAAATATAGTAGCTACTTATCTAGGTTAACCAAGAAGAAAATCATTCCGGTTGGTCCACTTGTTCAAGAACCTACCAGTGAAGATGACAATTCTTCACAAATTCTAACATGGTTGAACCAAAAAGAAAAAGGATCGAGTGTTTTTGTTTCTTTTGGCAGTGAATATTTCCTTACTAAGGAGGACAGGGAAGAGATTGCTCATGGGCTAGAGCAAAGTGGGGTTAACTTTATATGGGTTGTTAGGTTTCCAAAGGGTGGAAAACTCAAACTTGAACAAGCATTACCCGAAGGTTTTTTCAAGAGGGTAGGAGAAAGGGGAATGGTGGTTGAAGATTGGGCGCCACAAGCTAAAATATTAGGAAACCCTAATATTGGTGGATTCGTCAGTCATTGTGGATGGAATTCTGTAATGGAAGGAATGAAATTCGGCGTTCCAATAATTGCCATGCCCATGCATCTTGACCAGCCATTGAATGCTAGGCTTGTGGAAGAAGTAGGGGTTGGCTTGGAAGTGGTTAGGAACAAGGATGGCAAACTTGATAGAGAACAAATAGCTGCAATGATCAATAGGGTTGTTCTTGATATGAGGGGAGAAGCTGTGAGGGAAAAAGCAAAGAAGATGAGTGAAACAATAAGAGTCAAAGGAGATGAAGAGATCGATGTAGTTGTCCAAGAGTTGCTGAAACTTTGCAAGAGAAATGTGGTCTAACTTTTTGATTCTTATCTTCGATCGTGTCTAGTTTAATTTTGTTTTTAGGTTTTTGTTTCATGCTTACCAAACTCGGCAGCATGTTTTTATGGAGTACTAAATTTTTGTATGTACTCCTTAGAACTCTTTTATGGTGTTTCTCTTGGCTAGTACAAACCTTTAGTACTTGTGTAATGATTGATTTGAGACTAGCAAAGATGATAATGTCAAAATCTGCCTTGGTATTGAATGAAAATTTGAAGTTAAAACTTTTACTCTTTATTCAATATTGTCAGAGAATAAATATCGAAGCTTATCTGAACATTTTAATTATACATTATATCGCTAACAAGGAAGACGTGGTTTCTTTGACTATAGTCTATATACAACAGCAGTCTGTGCATGCGACTAGAATATTTTCTGCAATGTCATGACTAGAATATATGTTACAGTTTAAATTTTATACATTAACAATATAAAAGAATTTTTGAAGTCACAAGCAAATCATATTTTATCAGTGGGAAGTATATTTTATCAGTGGGAAGTATGTTGTGGGTTATGGCCTATGGGTGCTCAAGCATTCATTACTTTGGAGCCACACATTATTATTTTTATAGAAAAGCTAGTAATTTGTAAAAATATGTTATTTGAATATTTAATCTCAGTAGTAATTTTCAGATTAAAAGATAGTTCATCATTCATAATTTAAAAATTCTTAATCCGCCAATATATTTAGTGACCAACACACAAGAGTTGCCTATATACCACCGAATGTAAAAATCTCTTTCACTTCTCTTACAATCTTACTTATTACTACTATTTACTAGTATATATTAAGTTGAACGATTAGGTGTAATCAGGTCAATTCTCTCTTACAAAAGTGCAAAAAGAACAAAACCAAAAAAAAACCAAAAAAAAACGTGAAAAATTATGTAACCATGAAGGTTCAACGTTTTGGACAAAAAAAGTTATAAATTGTCTCTTACGTACTATATAGGAGTTCAGAGTTTTTAAGGCCTTCAACCCCTTATGACGAGGATACTTTCAAACTAAGGGAAGATACCTAACCATCGGTTAGAGCCTTCAAAGAACTAGGAGAACAACATTTTTAACATAGGTAAAAATGGCATAAAAATATTTATAATCATGTCACTTGTAAGTTATAAGGTAAGTTAATCTTTGTAATAAATATTATGGGTTACTTGATAAATATGGTAACTTACTTATTATAATAGGTTAAACCATATTGATTGTGTAGAAAATCTTGTGTTATCAGTATATAAATAACTTAAATCCTTTTCAATAAACAAGTATCGTGACACAAATTAAATATTGTGAACCTATAATTTGAGCAAAAAGTTATGGCCAAACGGCTAAGATTCATAATGACAGAGTGTCATATCAATATATGTGTTTAACCCCAAAATAGAGTTCTCGGTCATAGTCAATATTTAGAAAAAATCGAGTTACTGATAACCAAGATTTACTTCGCTTCCCCTACAATTTGAAGAATAAATCAAGGAATGAAAATAATTGATAACGAAAATATGAAATAGAATCACTCCCAAAATTAAGGTTTAGAACTTTGAGAATAAAGTAAAGAATGATTGCATAAATTTCAATAATTGTTCGATGCCCTTACAAATGAGATTTCAGTCCTTATATAGGAGCGTACAATTATAACGGTTCCCTTACTTAATTCGGGCTAACTAATGGTATTAATTGTCTTGATTGCCCGTTACCATATACAACTGTAACAGAAGCATTTATGATTAAAGATTTCTTGTAACTGTACCGATTCCTCTTCCTTATTTATGACAGGTTCGTGTATCTTCCCTTCTTTACAGCCTTTATTCATCTCGTTCCTGTTTCTTCTTTTATGGCTGTCAGGTCCGGCTTTTTCCTCAGTATATCCCTGTGGGTGTTTCTCCTATGCCTTTTCGCATTCTTTAACTCATATAATTAAGAACGCCACTTGTCATTATACCGATGTTCCACGTACCATGCCCTGTCATCTTGTTGTTAATCCATGTGTCATGTCTTTTTTCCACCAACACAGATAGTTCCCCCACTTTCTGAATATTCTCAACTGAATATTCGGAAAGTGGTAAGTATTTATAGAGGGAATTCTCTACTGTCATTTCTCGAGTATCAATATGCCCTCCTCAGAATCGCTGCGATGCATGTCACATTCATTTAATGCCTATGCTACGTGGCTTCACACGATTGGTTCTGCAGTTTCTTACCACCTTTTTAGGGTTTTTTCTGCGGCCGCGTCAGTCACGAAGTAACGGTTCTATTATGACGCTTCATAATGACTAATTTTGATGACGGTCATATCTCCTTATAAATACTTCATCCTCTTTGATTTCTTGAAACCTTCTTCCTTCTTCTCCGTATCCATAATCTTACCCCTCCTTCGTAGTTTTGTACCTTTTCCTCTGTATTTTCTTTGCTAACCATGTCTTTCTTAATACACGACCCTCGCAAAGTTGTGATCGTCGATGATTATTTCTTCTACTGCCCCTACTAGGAGTAGGAAAGGTGGCAGACTTCGCGGCCTTGGTTCGTTATCTACTCGTAGTTCTACTTCTCAAAGTAGCTCTGCCAGACCATCTTCTTCTAGACCTAGAGCTTCTTTGACCCCTAGATCTTCTTCTAAAAATAGGAACCAGAACGAACCCATGCGTGTTCGTGAGCCTACGATTTTTGAGATTGTTCCTCAAGAGTTTTCTTTAGTACCAGATCGTGAAACCATGAAGAATTAAGTTTCTTCTATAGCTTCCCTTAACCCTGCTAAACTTTACCCAAATTTGATTACTCCTGGTCGACGAGAATGTCATTGGAAACCAGATTTTCCTGTTTTAATTCCTGGTGCCAATCAAAGAATCACCTCTTACCATGCTGGTTTTTCTTTCATTTATATATACCCTTTCACTTTAGGGTTTAAGCCCCCATTGACCCAGTGATCATCGAGTTTGTCGCTATTTTAATGTTTGCCTTAGCCAGATTTATCCCTCTGTGTGGAGGGCAGTTGCATGCCTTCGCTATTTATCGGATTTAGTTTCCGCTGCTTTTATCTTCCGTCACTTACTTCACCTTTACTCTCCCAAGTTGTTTCGTGAAGGGGTCTTTTCCCTCGTGGCTACAAGAAAAAGGGCTTTAGTTAGCCCCGAGGATGACCGTGACCGTGACTGGTACGCGCGTTTTGTTGTTGCCACCACTAGTGAGTTAGTGGGTGAAGAAAATATGCCTTTTCTAGAAAAATGGAACTTTGCACGTAAGTTTTTTTCCCTTTTCTTTGATGCCTTGAGTTCCTTCATGTAATCACATATTTATTTTTTCAGCAACCATGAAAGCCTTTGAAGAAATTCTTGACTTACGTGCTTGGGTAGAAAAAATATTGACTGTTGCTCCTATGGACAAAAGATTTTGGAAGTTTCTTTCACAAAAATTTGGTTGGAAAGTGAAGACTCACGATACTCTTCATCCTCGCAGTTCTTCTCCTTCTTTTACTTGTTCATATATAAATTTTTCATCATCCATTTTTTTATTAGGGTTTGATATTCATGGCATTAGTCCCGCGTCTGTTCCATCAACCAGGCTTTCTGTAAGTCTTGCTCAAGAACAAATTTTGAGTGCTTCTTCATCGGTTGCATGTAATCAGGCACCGGGTGCTGTGTTACGTCAAGTCCCAAATTCGGGGCGTGACAATACTAACTTTCTGTTACATCCCATGTTTTCATACGTGAGAGTACGTCGTAAGCCAATTGATGTAAGCTCGGAAATGAGATCGTTTTCGAAAGTACATAACGTAAGTTCATCATGTTATCTTGGAGGTTAAAAATCTTTAAGATCATGAATAACAAGTACCAAAAGGGTTGGAAAGCTTAGACACTAAACGAATTGAAGAATATAAGTTTCGTCGAAAGTCGAAAAGGTAGGAATGTTATAACATATACTTTTGGGGTGAGACTAGGGTGATTAACATGATAAGGAGGTTAAGTTATGAGTTATTTTAGTCGTATGATAGTCGTGTGTTATGTTTTTAAGTCAAGCGAGTTGTGGAACAAAGCTTGGCAAAGGTCATCACAAGTTGCATTCACAATGTGCTGAAATTTAGGTCAAATGTAGCTGAACTTTTCTCCCAATATACTTGGAATCAAGGGATGATCTATATATCAAATTGAATATATATGAATCTAGTTTCTAACGCATTAAACCGTTTGTCGATACGACATCGGACTAGAGAGATATTCGCGTTTTTGCGAGACCGCGCAAGCAGCTCCCATGGGACCCACAAAGTCGGTTTAAACTTCAGTCTGTATTTAAGTCATTTATATGTCGTTTTAACTCATTTTTCTCATCCACAACAGTTCCTAAACCCCTCCTAAATTCTCTCCAAGGGTTCCTCCATGATTCTAGGTTGAAAACCTAAGATAAAAACATGAATCCAACGCTAGAAATCCCGTGGTGCTTGCTAGATCGTAGTTCTTTATCTTGTGGCTGTTTTGGAGGGTTCTTCAAAGGTAAGTAACTTCAGATTTCGTGTTGTTCTTTATGTTTAAGATAAGAATCAGTCCCTCCTTCGTATATATTAGAGTTTCAAGGCGAAATACAAGTATTTACACACCAACTTGAACACAAAAGTTGATTCAAGAAGAGAATACAACTCCTATAGTGTTGTGGTGTGATTGAGGGTTGTTGTGAGCTACACCAGCTGAGGATTTCAAGTTGTATCTACTGCCTAAGGTAACTAAATCATGTTCTTGGTTGTGCTTAAGGTCAATCATGTGTTGGTTGAGTTGTTTGAGTGAAAATCTACAAGATAGTAATTGACATGGCATAAGGAATCGTTATCTTTTTTGTGGGCTGTATGAGGCTATATATATGGTTTGTTGTGGCTGGAAATTGTTATAAATAGTTTTATTATGTTGGGTTGTTGTTGTTAAGCTTATCTATGTGCTAATTCAGTGGATTGAAGAAGATAACATGAAAAATAAGATGTTGACGATAAATGT